CTGTAGGAAAGAGCCAAGCAGCATTATCAGGTGTATAGCCAGGGGATCACAGCACAGGGTCAGCTAACTTGCCGTACGCATGAAGCTGGGGGGTGAAGGGCCTTGCTCGAGAGGCCACAGACATGTAACTATTCTGGTAAGGCTGAGGCTTGTTCTTCTCTCCAGCTTCTCTTCTACTCACGAGCACAGAGGGTTAGCCCACTGAACCACACACCACAGATCTTACATGTGATGTGAGAAGTTTGCACATCTATCCATCTTCTAATCACATCTCCTGGTCAGGAGTACGGGGCTCTGGAGACCATCCCAGGCACTATAGAACCCAAGGCTGAGATACACCCTGGATGGGCAGATATTTGTGTTTTTTTTTCATTCACTGTAAAATTTTTGGCAAGAACCTTGAAATACAATTTTTGGACAGACGGTGGCAAATCGTTGTCAAATTTGTGCCAGCATGCATCCATCAAACAATTTCTCCAGTCACCTGGAGTCATTTTAACTAACATTATTTTACTATTAAGAGTGGAGGGGGGTCTTATTTTTTATTAATCTATGTGTTCACAAAACAGACAGGGATAAGATATATCCCAGTTTCTGACCTGGTTATAGACTATTGATCACTATGACTCATAGATTAAGTTATGCTCATACGACAAATAGAAATACCAGTATTTTACACAAATAACATTCTGATGTATACGATGTAGTTTTACATAAGTACAGTATAAATAAAACCAATATTCAGTTCAGACTAGTGCGTGGTATCTATTTCCCTTCGATTTTCTAGTTAGCTGAGCTTTGAAAAATAGCAGACTCTGTTTTAAGCTAACCCGCCGCATGTGCGTATATGTCAGATATAAAGGGCTCCTTCCTCAGTTGGAGATAGCTCCTTTCCATCTGTAATTACATGGCAGGTGTTTTGGCTGCCAGATGGAAACATTTTGGCATTTTTCTTTTCTTTCCCTGGGCTCAGCTTGCACCCTTAGCTAAGCGCAGCGTTCCTTCAACAGTCAGCCACATTCCTTTCTATAAATCAAATCGGGAGCGCGGCAAATCCTCTGGGCCAGTTATATGATCTGTGAGAACTGGCCTTACTATTTATACTGGTACTCCTTGGCCTCCGTTTCTGAACCTTTTTGGCTGAGTGCGAAAGTAAGGAGAGAAAAGCCAGCAGCTATTTTTGAAAGCTGGAGTAAAATGCGGCATATTCTACACCACGAGCATGGCTGAAATAAAGACATCACTCCCAACCTTACGCAGACGGCAACGGCATCTCGTAGCTGGCGTGATAATAGTCAACGGCAAATCTGTAGAGACGCTGAAAGGATACTGATATGGATTATTTTCCTTGCCCTCTGCACCCAAGAAGCAGACCTGTCTCAGTTGTTTAGAAGTTAATTTGTTACATCTCTGAGTCAGCCTCGACAGAGAGCAGAGCTAATAGATCTGCCTTTGATGACGGTTCCCCATCAATTTAAAAGAGGCATCACTGGGAGTTATCTCAACCACTGCTTATCACTGCTTATCAAAAAGCTTTTGATTTAGTTATTGCTCAGATTTTTGAAAGTAAAATTGTTTTTTTAACAATATTTGCATCTTCTCAAAATCTGCCATTTTTCATGTAATAAAGAAACTTGCATTCAAATGTACATTTTCTTTACAGTGTTGATAATTGAATCAAGGCCGCTCAAAATCATAACTACGAAAAAGAATAATAATTCCAGGAGTGTTTCACTTGACTGTACGTAAGCCGATCCATGAAATATATATTGACATAGAAGAGGAGAATTAAAGGTTCTCCGTTGATGACAAAAGACGCTGGTTTGTATAACCGATGAAAAATGTGTTAACTTGTTCAGTTGACTGCATTAGAAAATGGACAGAATTATTCATCCATTTAAATAAGTAGAGAAAAGACTTGTTGGAGCCACCGGGCCTCAGTTAATTGGAGACAAGATGGAAGTTTGCCAGGAAAGTCTACGCTGCAAACCGGTTCCTGCAAGAAAGGGAGAATCTGCTGGGACGAGCATTTGATTGTGTGTTGTGCCCTTCCTTTACAGAAGCTGTTCCCAGTACCCCTAGTTCCTGCAGGGTTTGTCTGCCTGTGTGTATGCTTGAAAACTACTTTATCTGGTAAAATGTTATTTTTAACTATATTCTTACAGTTCTACAGATAACCAAGTCATTTAACCATTAATAGAAATATATTTATTATAGAAGCAAAAGTGTTAATTTTAATTCGATGAAATACACTGACACAGCACATTGTTAAAATTATCATTTAATATCACGATTCGCGATTTTTAATAGCTACTATGGGTTGGGCGGGTAAACGTCATAATAAACGAATGGGCTTTCAATGTGCGTTTTGTCTATCCGTTAAACCTTAGTGATTTTAAAGGGAATGTCGTGTTACTATTAGAAATGTAATCGTTTTCAGAGATATCTTAATATTACCCATCTGGCGCCTTTCTGGAAGTTTTAGTTAAGGCGCGGACGAGGAGCGTCTCTGACGCGTTTACTGCACAAAGCCTGGACACGAGAAACCGTGGATATGACTGATCCTACAGAACCCCACAAACCACGGCGTTCCCTTATAAATGGCCAGACCTCTGAAGGCTGGAGCATTGAGAATACCCTGGTGATCAGTGATTGACTAGGATATAATTAGGTGTTCTTCTAATTAGGTGCTTCAGGTATGTGTGTGTCCGTCCATACATATATATATATATAGAAACAAACATGTCTGTAAACACACGCACACGCGTAAGTTCTGTGTGTGTGTGTGTATATATATATATATATATATATATAGCATATATATATATATATATATATATATATATATATATATATATATATATAT